GTGAACTATCCCTTTAATGTTAGGTGTGATTCATAACAATTAATTAGAGAAATAGGTGCAATTAATTAGTTAAGAAATGTTAACCCCTAATAAGGTCATCTAAAACATTTTCTTATTTAAATAATATAATTGTTTTGTTCAAATAAAGAGTTTACAGCGCAGAAACACTGTCTAGCTGTTTCTTTTCCAATGTTCCAATACTTATTCATCATTTTTGTCCAAGGCTGTTGCACTCATTTGAAGGCTCTCGGGTATGTTTGTGTGAACTAACATCCCAGTGTAAATGCATCTTTAGGTGGGTTCTGGACTCTAGGTGCACCTTCACAAACTTCTAATTAAGAACTTTGATGGATCTAGAATTTTTGGTGAAAGAATCCCAGTGCAGGAGTGAACAGATGAGCGTCACTAACCCACGTGATCTCAGGAGATCCGGACAGAATCTGCAGTTTCCCCAGCATACGTTCGGCTGCTACACGTCTGGCCAACTTTTTGGAGCTGCCAGAGCCTGATGAGCAAAAGCACATCACAAAGCATTAGCAGCTGAGTGCTCAGAATGCAGCGAGACGTCTCAGTATGAGAGAGCAACTAACGGCACCTGACTCCTCCAGTCCTTCCAGACGGCAGGTAACGGTGAACTCCTTCATGTGATCAGGCCCTGTCTCCATACACACCACATACTCCGGCAGACACCACACCCTCTGCATGGCCAGCTCCTGACACAACACACAGCACCATTCAAACACACACGCAGGCTCTCAGACAGACCCACATAGTGTCCTGTGTTTGCTAGGGTATTCTGGGCAGTTTTCAAATACTTTAGATTAGGGATGCACGATATTGGATTTTTGCCGATATTTTTCAACTCATTTTTGCCGACATGCGATGCCGATACCGATATATTTCCTTTTGTTTGGAAACAACACCAAGTCTCTCCTGTGCAGAGATTCTAAACAAATTATTTTTGTTATTTATTTAACAAAAATGTATTTGTTAGAATTAAATAAGCAGTAATGAGGTTCTTTTAGTACATTGAAAGCTTTGAAAATAATTATAAATCAACTATAAATCAATCACTTTTTTCCCCAGAAAGATGCAGTGGTAACCTTAACATTTTATTTCAAGATTTAACATGTGTAGATGGTCTACAGCAAAAGAGTTTTAAGTCTGAAAATCTTTTAGAGCTCATAAAGAAAAAGAAAAACATATTACACATTAATAAATAAATCTGTATATATAAAATTATTTAATTTACAAGTGCCGTGTTTGTGATTTTTTTTCATGTAAGCTATATATTTTGACCTTTAAACCGCACAAACACATTTAATTACACCAAATACACAAAATAATGTTCTTTTTAGCAGCATAATATGACCCCTTTAAAGTCTCAAGGCTGCATTTATTTGAACAAAAAAACAAACAAACAGTAAAAGCAGCAATATTGTGAAATATAACAATTAAAATGAACTATATTCTATTTTAATATGTTTTAAAATGTAATTTACAATGCATCGGTGATCAAAGCTGTATTTTCAGCATCATTACTCCAGTCTTCAGTGTCACATGATCCTTCAGAAATCATGCTAATATACTGATTTGCTGCTCAAGAAACATTTCTTAATGTTGCTGCTTCACATTTGTGAGGAAACCGTGATGCATTTTTCAGAATTAATTTTATATATAGTAACAATGTTATGTAGGCTAATGTAATAATGTGGCAAGGGCTTCTTAAGATCTACTTATGCTTCTGATGCTTTTGGGAAACGCAGCCCTATTTGAACAAGCACTCTGAGCCATGCGTCAGCAGCGAACACTGTCTGTGATTGATTGGTTCTGTCTTTCAGCATTTGCGTGCGTTTTGATGAGCAAGAGAAATGGTTCTATCCAACACAATTATTCACTAATATAGTCTATTTTTCCACTTAGAAGCTTATTTTATGCACCGAATTTCTTGATAAATAAATACAATTAATGGTTAAAAAAATGCACTTTAGAATCGATATTTTTATGTGAGGATCGATGCTTTCTATACAACATCAGTATCGAAAGTACCGATACTTAAGGATCGATCCGCCCATCCCTAGTCATTCTGTCCATGCATTCTCAGTTTAAATGCAGCGATCCAATCATCATTCAGGCAAAACTTTGCTTAAAGAATGAGCCACACTGCTGACTTGATCTTATCGCTAAGCACACCCTGAGCACATGCGAGTTATTCGTCTTATCGGCAAGACATATCGGCATAATTGTACATATCGGACCGATGCCAATGTTCACATTTTAAGCCATTATCGGCCAATTCCGATATCGGTTCCGATAATATCGTGCATCTCTACTTTAGATATACAAAGATGGGGCACTTATATTACTTATGAATGGGACACAGTGCAACAGGCAATATGGCAGAATAGTCCCGCCTCCTGAATAAAAGAGCCAATCACTAAGTCATTGCGTCACTGCAGCTGCCAATAAAAGCGCAGAGTACTATCAAAGCGTCTGAAATCATGTACTGAACATACAACATAGAATAGTGCATAAGTACGCACCATATCAATTCAGACATACTACTCTTGGCGTACTATTTTTCACATACTATACAGCAGGGAAGTACTTGATTTCAGACGCAGCATCAGTGTTTTGAGACACGCACTTAGGACTGCACACGCGCATTGGCTGGTAAATAAACTTTTTAACGCTATTTGTGCATAAGAGACAAAATATATGGGTCAGTTGTTGTCAGATACCTGCAGTACTCCTACAGTATTGGATGCGTCACCGGCTTCAGGAGAAAGACCATCTCTCTGATCACTGTGAAGGATTCAGAAAACACGGATGACTATAGTAAATGATCTATAATAACTCCCATCACATCTACAGTGTGGATTTTACTTTAGCTGGGTGTCTCGTTTCAATAGTTTCAAAGCGGCTTCTGCAGCTTCATGTTTAGCAGCCTTTTTAGTGGATCCTCGACCTTTAAGAACACAGTATCGTCTATTAGAATGTGCACTGTACATTATTTATACTCTTACTAGGTGTTATGCAAATAAATAAACATGTGTGTAAATCTCAGACCATTGCATGTGATGTCTCCTGTGGTGACACTGAACATGAAGGAGGGCTGGTGCTGGTCTCCATCAGCCTGGAGGAGCTCGTACACAGGCGCACTGCCCATTTTAATGCCATATTCGTGCAGGATCTGGACGGGTGTTTTATCCTGACAGCGTTGATGAAGCATGGTGACTCTGAGACGAAAACCGCATGTTAAAACCTGGTCAGAATAATGCAAACAGGCTAGATAAGAGCAAACTACAGAAATACAGCCCAAAACATAAAAGAGACACTCCATTATAACAAACAATGCGTCCTATTTAATAAACACTCTGCCATCCACCTCAGTCGGAACCCCTGCAGAGGTTACATTTATTACAATACAGCTATTATTAAACTAGTGTGGGTAGAAGCAAAGAAGAAGAGCTTGTAGGTCAAAATATAAAGAGCTTCTTACTGAGAATCGGCCATTATTGCTGGAGTATGCCGCTTCTGCGTGGATTGGCAAGAGCACTGGCCAATAGTATTCCAGTATCCTGACTATAAGCCCCGCCTTCCCAGCAGCACTGCGCCAGAGCCCCTCCTCCTGCAGGGGACACGCTCTGTAATGGGTAACGCTGCGGAGATTATAATGTGTTGTTCTTGACTGAAAGTACACCTCAGCACGCTGAACAGACTGCTGAGTGTGCCATCTCCTCTTTCAATAAGAAGATCTCTGGCTCCACCATTCGTACGCTTTTGGGATTGGTTCTACCTTTTTTTAACAGTCTATGGTTGCAACTTGCAACCTGTTTTTATAGTCTATGCTTGCAACCATAGACTGTTAAAGTATGGCAAGCCGTTTTGACTTTTATTCATCCTCGGGATATGAATTCTTGATATCAACAATTCAGTTTTCACTCGTTTTTCTTGACTGAAAGTACACCTCAGCACGCTGAACAGACTGCTGAGTGTGCCATCTCCTCTTTCAATAAGAAGATCTCTGGCTCCACCATTCGTACGCTTTTGGGATTAGTTCTACCTTTTTTTAACAGTCTATGGTTGCAACTTGCAACCTGTTTTTATAGTCTATGCTTGCAACCATAGACTGTTAAAGTATGGCAAGCCGTTTTGACTTTTATTCATCCTCGGGATATGAATTCTTGATATCAACAATTCAGTTTTCACTCGTTAAAATGCTAATTCTTGATATCAGGAATTGGATTTCTACTAGTAACAATGGCTATTTTTAATTTATAAACATTAAATTAAACAAAATATCTCAAATGGTCTTTGGTCAGTTGTCTTTGAGTGGTCGCTGGCGAAAGACTTTGAGGAAGACCGCGAGGGTTTAGGGTGCCATTTGCGACATTGTATTATTTTATTTTTTTACAATTTACTACAATGTAAAGTTAGTAACGTAATCCATTACATTACACATTTTAGGTAGGGTAATATAATCAGACTACTTTTTGAATACTTTTAGATTACTTTTATCGTTTATCAAATTTAAGTAGGACAATCTTGTACCATATTGATATAAAAATACAAAGAGTAAGAAAATACATTCTATTTGTTCTAATTAACAACATGAAGGGCATTAAACATAACATTACATTATCAAGGTTTCACAAACATAAGTTTGTAAATGAACTGCGGGAGGTTTGTGAGTTTAATGAAAATGTAATTAAAATCATAAAAATGTAAAACTGAAATAAACCATTTTAAAATAACAACAATCAAAATAAAAGAGTTACTAAAAAAGATGAAAAGATTTTTTTTTTTTAATCCAAAGGTCAAATGCTGTGTAGCCACCTGACTAGTGACTGGTCTTTGTGTGAATGTCGACAAAACTGGAAGACTTTCTGAGTGTATGCAAATGGTAGGCTATTTTAGAAAGGAAAATGTAAAAGATGAAAATTAGGAAGCAGGAAGAATCGATGAATTAAATATCTCATGAATTTTAAGTAGGCCTAGGTCACCATACAATTTGTATTTTATTTATTTAGAGTGCAGAGGGCAATAAACAGCAGCAGCAGGCTGTTGTAGCAGGCTAATAAACTGCTAGTTGCAACAGTACCCTCTTGTGTGGAAACTATGCAGAGCAACAAACAAAAGTGCTTTTTCATCAAATATTAGAGCATCGTGCCTCTTGGACAGATACACACAAGTACAATCATAGTCTTTTCCCCAGCAGAAACATAAACAGCATTGTTTTGGGGCGAATTTGATAATTTAATGTTCTATTTACACTTCATGATTGTGCAGGACTGTCCTGTATTAAACAATAAGACTATATCATCTATCTGTGACCTGTAACAAAACACGTTACTGAAAAATTGTAAACAGGTCCCTATGAAAGAAAGTCAACAAAAACAAGACATTTATTCTACAATAGTAGTTGGCAGATCTATTGAAGACATTCCCATGTGTGCAATATGTGCTCATGTCCTGCCTGAGGACAGCATCAAAAATCCATTCATGTGCATAGATTGTATTGTGCTCATCTGAGGCTTGTGCGCACTGTGTATGATTGTCACTACGATTTTAAAACAACTACTTGTTGATTACATAAACTATCTAAAATATTCTATTTGTTTTCATAGGGAAGTGGAAATTACCGTATGTAAACAGCATACAGTATTTCATCACATTTATAGTCATCACATCACAGGTCACGTAAACATTGCTGATGAATATCTGTGTGGCTGTGCATGCTGATGTGTTTGAGAGGTATCATGGACTGCAGTAGGACGTTATGGAAGGGGCGGGCGCGTTTTGGGTGGAGGGAAAACCACTCTCTTGGTGAGGGTGAACTCTGGCTGTGGCATCTGCTTCTTTAAACCGCTTTTGTCCGTCTTTTTGCTCACATCGCTATTCACTTGCGTCAGAATGGAGAGTAGATCGACACCCCTACATGCACGTAAGACAGAGACACACGATCAGAAATCCAACCAACGTCTAGAGTCAAATCAGGACACAGTTACAGTTGTGGAAAACCTTATCCACCCAGTCCCTCTTTTGTGTGATTCATTAAAAGAACCAGCTCATAAGAGTCATTCATTCTAAAATATATGGCAGAAATTATTAGAGTAGAATGCTAGTGAGCCAAATTCAGCCAATGAGTCAAGAAATAGATAAAAAATGTGTTCATAAATGTGGCTGATAATACTTTTAGTTCATCTATCCTACTGGAAGGTCTAGTTGAGTGCACTGCAGTACTCCACACAGTGTGCAGAGAGCGCCAGAAGTCATAGACTGTCCGCTTCAGTGATGGGGAACAGTCTTTGCTTGCTTTCTGTATATAATTTATTCCCAGTTTATTTTTTTAAATGCTACTAAAATAACCAATATGAAGTCTCGAGTTTTTAATGTGTAAAAAACAAGAAAATAGTTCATAAACAGTTCTCTGTTGAGTAAGACGGCGCACGTTCCCCAAACACAGTACAGTGTACCAATTATTCAGCTGAAAAAACACCTTCTGAAAAAACTTTTACAGGGCTGGATTATGACGCAGCGGTGCCCAGGGCACGGACCAAACTCTATAAAACAGCTGTAAGTGGATCTAGGCCTTTAGAACCACTTTAGACTGTATGGAGCCGTTCACACAGAATGCGTTTGTCCATTCCAATGTGCTACTTTCACATTGTTTTCTATGTAAACATGCCCTAGCGATATATATATATATATATATATACTGTATATATATATATATATATATATATGTCTATTGCAGGCGCATATCGCATTTTTTGCAGCATCTTACACATTAATGCCATGTTTTTAAGATGCCGCGTCAAGTTAAAAGAATTTCAACTTTTACAAACAGCGCCACTCATCAATGTCAGTTCCAAAACAGTGGACCAATCTGAAGACCCTGAAGAATCTGTAGACAGTTCACTTTCAAATTTTTTTTCATGTTTGTTTGGCAAGTTCCGGATTGGTTTTTAACAATTTTTTTTGATGTGCTCAAGCTCAAAGAGACCGAGACGGCAGAAAGTGCAGCCTGTTTGCTTTCATTATTTTACAAAAGCACAACGTTTTATTGTTATTGTGAGTGCACACAAATTAAAGTAGACCTTTTAAAGATTCAAAAGATGTATTACTCTTATCTTTATGACCAAAAAGGACTGTTCAGCTTCCACGCTCCACACAAACACTTCAATAGCGCACGTTTTTCTAGGTTAATGTTAGCGCGAGCGGCCATTTAATGATGCTACTACTTACATGTTTCAGATGATAAGCCACATTTGAGGTCGATGAACGAAACGAAACACATTTGCATGTCCTGACTGATGTACTGTAATTATCACACAGACCAGCTGTTAATAATCTGTCCATCACACACTACGTAACTTTGCCACTTCCTGTGGATTTTTTTTCCTGCAACTAAGCATCTAATAAAATTTTGATCGACTAAGCCTCTTCTCGTCTACTAACGGTTAGTCGACGATAAGGGGCAGCCCTAGTAAAAACGCAACAGCCCCTCAAAGTCTCATTTTCACCCCCCAGTGAGGACAACCTGATAGAAAGACTTGCTCACCTTGGCACCAGCAGTTTCATGTTGTGGCAGAGGGACTGTATAAACCAGGTTCCACTGTCTTTTTCCCTGTATGAGACGTAGTGTGGTACAGTGGACATGGCTAACAGGTAGTCTGCCATTTCAGGTATGGAGTCTCTGGGTACAGCTGCATCGCTGACTGGCATGACTTCATCATCTGGGAAAATTTGAGGAAATGCTGCTGGCTGATCGTCGGTACCCCTGCAGGCCTGGATGAAGAACAGTTTGGGTTTTTTGAAGAGAGAGGGACACTGACTTGGACTCAGCGTCTCTATCAGCTCCCTATAGGTGACAATCTGTCCATCAACCCCGACAATGCCTTTTATTTGTCCGTGGCTCAGCACACAGCACACCACGCAATCCGCTGATGTGTGGTCACGATCAGCCAGGTCCCTCAGCACCTGCAGAATCTGATGGCGATCACAGTTCTGTTCGGTCAGGACCTCAAAGCCCAACCACTGGAACACAACCTCCAGACTTTCTGTGTGAACAAAAATGGACACAGGTACTATGTAACAGCAACGGCTTTGTGCACGTGACCAAAAGCATGACTCTTACTGGTTGGGCAGATTTCTCTAAGGCACACCTGTGCAATAATCATGCTGTCTAATCAGCATCTTGATATGCCACACCTGTGAGGTGGATGGATTATCTCGGCAAAGGAGAAGTGCTCACTAACACAGATTCAGACAGATTTGTGAACAATATTTGAGAGAAATAGGCCTTTTGTGTACATAGAAAAAGTCTTAGATCTTTGAGTTCAGCTCATGAAAAATGGGGGCAAAAACAAAACCGTGTTGCGTTTATAATTTTGTTCAGTGTAGATAGATAAGATACACACACACACATGCATGTATATATTTAAGAAAAATGTGTTATGTTTATACATTTAAAATATTTATATATAATATCAATATTATATTAATATAAATATATACATGGAAACATTTTCAAAATATATAATGTGTGTGTGTGTGTGTGAAATATAAATGTCACTGTCTTTTGATGGTGGATGTGGTGAATAAGCTGCCAGTCATCAAAATATTGAATATGAAGTCACTGAAAACGATAGTTTTGAGAATATGGTTGAGATCGTGAATATGAGCCAGATACTGAATGTACTGTGGAAGTGCGCTCTGACAATGATAGCAATGGTAAAATCATCTGCTCAAATCGAACCCTTTTAAGTTTCAAAAGGTAACGAAATATGCTTTATTTTATTCTTCTGTAATTGTTCTTAAAATATCAAGAGTTTTTTGCTATTGCAGCAGTTAAGATATCCATCTGTGCTGGATATATAGGTCCGGGTCTCTAAAGACACGAATATGTAATAATGATTGGCGAAACATTCATGCATTTAAGGGTTAAGATGGTTATCGGCCCTCAGGCATGTGTATGTGCTTGGTGACTGGTTTGTACAAGCGTGTTTTTCACTAACTTTTGTCAATGTCTGTTCCGTCTCTGTTCCGTAGTCCACAGTCTTTGAAGTCACAGTTGTTGATGATCAGACAGACTCCTCTCTTGTCCCCCTTCATCTTATACTGCTTGATCTACCACACAAAAGACACAAGTGTCTAAGCAGTGGTGCTAGCAAGCAGTCCAGTCCAGTATACAGTATATAGATACATACAAAAATATAGTTAGCTACACAGATCATGACCGAATAGAGCAAAATGAACTACTAAACAATTCACAAGACCCTCAATAGGGTTTCCAGTCTCTGTGTGCACGTACAATCTGGTATTTCTCAATCCATTCAGCACCAGTTGTGATTCTTCATTTCCTCTCTGATGACGGTATCCTGTAGCAGGAACTCCTTTCTCTGCAGCAGCAGTAGCCCATGTCTTCTGTGATTGCTTTCCCTCTCCACACTGTTCTTCTATTCTCTCGTTGCAGTGGCTCAGTCTTCTTCGTTCCAATCAAGCATTACTAAGCACATACACCAAAGTGGCAAAACATTATGACCACCATCTGTCTAATATGCTGTTGGTCCTCTTTGTGCTGCCAAAACAGCACTGACCCGCCGAGTCATGGACTGAAGGTGTTCTGTGGTATTTCGCACAAAGACATTAGCAGAAGATCCTTCATGTCCTTAAGTTGTGAGGTTGAGCCACCATAGATTGGAGTGTTTGGTCCAGCACATCTCGCAGATGCATTAACATCTGAAGATTAGGACATCTTGACATCTTCATTATGTTCCTCAAATCATTCCTAAACAGTGTACAGTGAAGATCCTGCTTCAGGGAATACCATTACCAGGAAGGGTGTTCCTGGTCTGCAATGAAGTTTAGGTAGGTGGCATGTGTCAGATTGATGTCCACTTGAATAGGGCTTCCCAGCAGATCACAGTCCCTCGACCAGCTTGTCATCGTCCCGCAGTGTATCCTGGTGCCATTACATACCCAAGTAAACTCATCAGACCAGATGACCTTCTTCCACTACGTTGCTCGTGTGCTCATTCTAGGGGCTTTCGGCTGTGGACAGGGGTCAATTATTGGCACTCTGACCAGTCTGCACCTACACAGGCCCATATGCATCAAGGTGCCATGCAATGTGTGTCCTGAACATTGAACCTTTAGCCATCATTAAAACTGTCACCACATAGACCTACTATTGGTTTGGTCCAGACGGAATAGCCACCAATTTGTGGTTTGTCCCTCCTTGGACGGGTGTTGGTAGAGTCTCACAAATGCTGACCGGGATCACTACACCACCCTTGCTGTTTCAGAGAGGCTCTGGCACACTTGTCTGGCCATAACAATTTGGCACTTGTCAAAGTCACTCAGATCTCTATTCCTGGCCATTTCTCCTGCACCAACTGGTTGTTCATTTACCTTATACTGTAAATTACCCAGACCTTCACATGTGACCTTGTTAGATGATTAACGATATTTCACCTATGAGTAATCATAAGGTTTTGCCTCATCATGCATTCTCTTTGTACATACATATGATAAGCTTCCTATTGAATACATTTTGCTTCCTATTTTATATATGGTCATGACATCTTAATACATTATCTACTATCTAACCCTAACTTAACATGGAAACTGCCTATATGTTTTTCACAGCTATAGACTTTTGGTAACACTTTACAGTATGGTTAAGTTCATTAACATCAGCTAATGGATTGGGTACCCTGAAGAGTCCACAACAACACGTTAATTTATAAATATAATATTGTGCATTCTTAATTCCATTTGTTCATTATACAAGTAATGTTAATATATACAACGCAAAATGTTTAAAATGTTCATATTAACATAATCAAGATTAATAATTGCAGCTCTGTTCACTGTTATATTAACTAATGCATTAACTAGCGAATACTACCTCATTGTAAAGTGTTTTATTGTACCAAGTTTTTTTAATGCGGCACACATGGAGCATATATATTTATACAAAAATCATTCAAAGGAATTGTCACAAACACAGTTATTATTAAGGTAAACAAAAACAAGAATTAATTCTGTTGCTCATTAGTTAAAATCCAACAAATAATTCTGGCGTTTTGCTATGGGCACCCTAATTGTTGAATAGGAATGACAAAATGTTTTAAGTTATTATTTATGTAGACCTGAATTAAAAAAAAAAGTGTCTGCATTTCTAGCCGATCGTAATTTACAGCTTAGCATACATAATATTTTTCTTAGTAAGTTTGGCATGATTTTTGTCCGCTTTTTGTATGATCTTGTAAGATCTGGAGCAATATAATTATTCATTCTATTTTTGCTAATTATTAAGTGAAAATGTTATGTTTAAGTCATTATTTGTTCATGTAGAGATGAATGTAAAAAATTAAAAGGTGTACGTGTTTCTAACCAAATCAAAGGTGAACACGCTGAGCATGCATAATATTTTTATTAGGCTGCCTGTTGGGGTTGGTTAAAGGGGTCATAAACTTTCATATTAACGCGGATTCATTTACAAACAAGGCACAATTAAACTGAGGATTTTCAGAAAGATTGAAACTAAAAGACGACGATGTGCCGGCTAGATTGGATCCGACAGTAATGTCGCAACACACAAGTGGGAGTAAGTGTGAATTTTTATTACGTGATCACTATTGCTTTGTCTGTTATTATAGATTGTTTGATATGTACTATTTATGCATCCATCTGTGAAGGCTCTATGCTGTCAAACATACACAGCTATTAGCCAATCACAGCAGTGGGCGTTAACTTCTGTGTCTACAATCCGCCACCACGCCTATTCAAACAGAGCGTTCTGATGAGGGGGGTCAAAACAGGACAGAATACAGCCTATTACTCCTAAAGTATGATGTTTTTTAATGTAAAAATATTGATAAAAATATAAGTGGACTTCAGAGAACAGTACAAAATAAAAAAAAACAAAGGCAGTTCATGACCCCTTTAAGGGGGTAGAGGGTTGCTCGGTGTGCTGATCACTCTTTAAAGAATGTAAGGAAATATGAAAGTGCTCACCATTTACTTACAATACAGAAGGTTCTTTGTGCATTGACAACATCAGAAAGAAATTATGGCTTTTTAATAACCAAGCTTGAGTCATTCTTATCACCATTTGTGGGTCTGTGTTATTAAAGGCAGGCGATTGTAACCAAGCTCTTGATCATCATGCATGAAGTTCTCATTGCAGCATTATGAGAAGGTTATCCAAACATGTTTATGCAAAATATTTGTTATTTAAACGTTCTGTTCATACATTATATTACTGTAATATTTATTTGTAGTTTTATTATATTACAATAATTATTCAATTGCCAAATATACTTTGTATTAAATTATAACAATATTGTTGTAATTTATTTATTACACATACAATTCGTGCTTAATATGCAAAATGCTAAAATCACTGCTTAGAGAAACCATATTCGGTAAGAGTGCAGAGAGTACCTGTAAATTATCCAGGTTATTTACAAATCATGAAAAACTCAACGGTACGTTTTGCAGCAATACCACAGACCACAGAAATACATTGTTTTTGAAAAAAAGATCTTTGGAATAAGCAGCTAGAAGCTGTTAATACTTGTGCTAACACTTGTGGTTGGTTACTGACTACATTTATACATTTACAAATATATAAAAGCTCATATAATATAGCACATACTGCAGCGATATCAAAATAACTATTACTGCATATTTGAAACTTGAAATGTTGGCCACATTTTTAATGCAGCAGACTTCTTCTAAATATTCTGAAAAGAAAACCATCATAAAGAGAGAACTTAATGTGGCTTAATGTAATAAAGACAGTGGCACTGAAAGGCCAAAATATGTTTGCACCTTATTCAGAACAAGCACTATATAAACAAGCTAATGAGCGCGCAAACGTCACTTTTCTCCCTCACAGGAAATGTTGAACAGAAACACTTACCGCAATTTTCAGAATCAACTCAATAACGTTGAGGTAATTTATACATAATCGGTAAGAGTGCAGAGAGTACCTGTAAATTATCCAGGTTATTTACAAATCATGAAAAACTCAACGGTACGTTTTGCAGCAATACCACAGACCACAGAAATACATTGTTTTTGAATGAAGATCTTTGGAATAAGCAGCTAGAAGCTGTTAATACTTGTGCTAACACTTGTGGTTGGTTACTGACTACATTTATACATTTATACACATACTGCAGCGATATCAAAATAACTACTACTGCATATTTGAAACTTGAAATGTTGGCCACATTTTGAATGCAGCAGACTTCTTCTAAATATTCTGAAAAGAAAACCATCATAAAGAGAGAACTTAATGTGGCTTAATGTAATAAAGACAGTGGCACTGAAAGGCCAAAATATGTTTGCACCTTATTCAGAACAAGCACTATATAAACAAGCTAATGAGCGCGCAAACGTCACTTTTCTCCCTCACAGGAAATGTTGAACAGAAACACACACACACACACACACACACACACACACACCGGGAGCAGGCCATGACTTCCCCCTGACACCTGTATCTGTTTATACAGATAAAGTGAATCACACACATCTTTTTTTTTCATTCCAGCTGTACAGCATGACATAAGCTACAGTACTGTATAATATGAACTTATATTACAACTTATTAACAATACAACTTCTGATTTTATGAACTGGCCATTGTTTTACATGGAGATTCTTATCAGATGACGTCCTGCAAAGCATGCGAAATAAACTCACCCGATGTACATGATGTCAGCAATGAGGGCTGTATGAAAGAGAGAAAGATTATCACAGGGTTTCCACAAAAATATTAGCCAGCACAACTGTTTTTAACATTGATAATTATAATAAATGTTTCTTGAGCAGCAAATCAGCATATTAGAATGATTTCTGAAGGATCAGGTGACACTGAAGACTGGAGATATGATGCTGAAAATTCAGCTTTGCATCACAGGAATAAATGACATTTTACAAGATATTCCAAGAGAATAACAGTTATTTTAAATCGTAATAATATTTCACAATATTACTGTACTTTTGATCAAATAAATGTGTAAATAAATAGTTCAATAAAAATCTTAAAACTCATTCATGCATTAACATGGAAATGAGCATTGTGTTCCACAGAAGAAATATGACATGGTGAAGAGTAAAGCATCCACAAAAATATGTACATTAATGCAAATTAGGCAAATGAAGTTATACCGGAGCAGGTGAGTACAACGCAGGAGTAATATCTCCGATCTCCTGAGCAATAACCATTCCACCTGCTGTAATAAGACAGAAAACAAAATGCATATATCTGTAGAAATACGAATGAATGTTTATTTCTATGGTTTAACACTTCACACTGTAGCTTATGCATAAAATCCATTTACCTCCTCGCAGTTTTGATTTATAGCTTATTTTAAATATACCAGAGGCAAATTAACATCACATCAGGAAATAATAAAACAGCCACTCACTCTCACAACTCTCCGTTTTGTATTGAATGATTCTTTTTTCTAAGCTGGGATTGATATCTGCTATAATTTTCTGCAGAACGTCCAGATTATTTCCATCCAAAAGGTCCTCCTTCTCCATCTCCAAAAACAACTGCAACAGCGTCTAAAAGACATGATTGTTTATATGTAAGTTAATTTAGTCAATCATCACACTCTGGTCACATGCAGAGATGTGGTGTCAGAGCACCGAGGCCGTGTCCGTGTCTCTCACCGTGTCCTTCTCCAGTTTTTTGCGCGGTAGTGTTTTTAACAGGAGGAATTTGATGTTTTTCAGGTCCTGCTCACAGATGGACTCTGACAGCTCATACAACAACTGTCTGAAATACAGAAAAACAAATACTGATGATTATTACATAGCAACTATAAAGACTTCTTGAGCGTCCTTGTAAAATACAGCCACCCCAAAAATACAAATGCTACTGCATTAAAAACAAAAACGGAGTGTCTATTTACACTAAGTGCAAATATCCCGCCCTGTGTTGGCAGAGGCTATTTACCCACCAACATGTGATTGGGGTAGTCAACACTACAAAAGACGACTGTCGAACATCAGCTCCATTGGTGTAGATGGTAAATCATGTACTGCAGTCTTTTTGACAAGACCCAAGTTCGAATCCGCCTTTTGCCGAACTTTTTTCCCTCCCTTTTCAAATCTCATATCACATCGAAAAGGCATTTATTTTCAATAGAAATGAAGGAAATAATCAAAAAGTTGAAAATAAAGTATCGGGTAGGTGTAGGGTTTTATTGTCCCAATAAGGTGGCATCCATTTAATAATTTGAACTAAAATTATCATTTACACTCAATATGTTATTATTGCATACTGTAATATAATGTACTACAATACTGAGGTGCAGATAATTGCCACTATTTGCAATAAGTAGTATAAATACCGCTATTTTAACAGTGTAAATCGAATCTATCGCTATTTCACTTAGAGTAAATAGAATCCATTGCTAAGAAAATATGCTGTTTACACTCAAACATTCCTTGGTAGAGATTTTCTTAGTCAGCTTTCTGGCCTTTGACCTGATCAAACACGTCTCTATTACTAGCAGCTGCATCCTCACCTGTATGGGGAGATTTGTTGACTATATATTGTGCCGTTGGTTGGCATAACATCCTCTGAGATCAGACTGCGGATCAGGCTGCTCCGTTTCAGGATCCTGAGCAGCTCTAAAAGCAGAGACGGATCCTCCCATGACAGCAGGTCTCTGTTTTCCAGAAGACTGAAGAGCTGTCCGGCTGAGGTCACGGTGCTGAGGTCTTTCAGACTGAGCAGATCAGAGCAGAGGAACACCAGGTCCTGCACCTCCTCGACAGTGAGAGACACCTGCACTTTTAACAGCACCCGCTGAAACTCCAAAACTGTCTGCATCTATAACACATGCATAACACTGCTGCAATGAAATTCAGATTTATTTTACATACTATTTTCCGTTTCAGGATCCTGAGCAGCTCTAAAAGCAGAGACGGATCCTCCCATGACAGCAGGTCTCTGTTCTCCAGAAGACTGAAGAGCTGTCCGGCTGAGGTCACGGTGCTGAGGTCTTTCAGACTGAGCAGATCAGAGCAGAGGAACACCAGGTCCTGCACCTCCTCGACAGTGAGAGACACCTGCACTTTTAACAGCACCCGCTGAAACTCCAAAACTGTCTGCATCTATAACACATGCATAACACTGCTGCAATGAAATTCAGATTTATTTTACATACTATTTACTACATTTAAATTTACCACAGGCAACCTAGTAGTGAATACAGATAAAGATGATCTGTGATGTGCAATCCAGTTTTTGACCCACAATGCCATATCACAAGAGATACATTGAAAACAAACTTTTTTGGTTTTATTTTTGCACTGACATGTAGAGGATATAAGTGAATTAGATTTTTTTAAATGTATATTTTAATACAGTATATAATGCAGCATTTAGTTTTGGTTTATTACAGATTATTGACCCTTTGTAGTAAAAGGTTTGGGCAACTCTGCTCTGGGTTATTCAATCTCAAATGGTCCAAAAATTGTAGAGTTGGTTGTGTGTCCAATTTTTTTTATTTTTTATTATTACCTAGTATTATTGTATTTTGTATTATTAACTAGTATTACCAAGTATTGCAAAACCACTAGTACTTTTTTATTTTACTTGTTTTTTGTTTTTTTTTGTCATGCCCCACAACAAATTTTGGGTTATACAGACATTTACGGAAACCTCGATATGTCAGCTCAGCATCCTTCTAGCTCCTTAAAACTAGAAACATTCTATGTACATATATAAACATTTTGCACATTCTTTTTGCTTAGACTTGGAACTTAAGTCTAAATGTAGCTAATGACCAATATTGCTCAGGGTTCCACTTTTAAGGTCAGAGGTCACCGAGGTAAGTATTGTGTACACTCAGAACATTTCAGGTTTGAGACTTCTCTTACCTGCCTATAAGTTACATCATAGCATGATTACATAAACAGACTGATTAATGAAATTAAATGTCCAAAAGAAAAGAATCAGACTTCCCTGTTGCCTGAGGCTCTGGATTACAGGTAACAATGTTATAAATAATGGTCAATTTCTTTCTCAGATCAAATGTTCCACATCATAAGACCTAAATATGTTGTCAGGAGCAATGCATGGGTATTAATTTTGTAATCCTTGATATGCTTTTTCAAAACCGGAAGCTGTTAACTTACGTTTTATGAATCACCAAGGACCACGGTTTCAGTTAAAAATCTTTATTGTTCTACTCAAGAAAAAAAAATCACCAACATCATGGGTGACTAATGAAACTGGGCCTCACCCACATTGACGTCATGCACAAAAGTTTTATTAGGGCTGGGGTTTCATTATATGGCAAGTAGAGACTGATTTAGGCAGTTTAAACATGTTTTCAATACTTTTTCTTTATTATGCCTATTCTCCGTTCAAATTTCTAGATTTCTGACATGCACAAAGCATAATAATATAATGACTTTCATTGTAAAAAATGTTTACATATTTTTTTGTGTTTTTATACAGTACAATACTGCCAAACTAATCAAATTAGAGCATAAATGCAATAATATTATAACTAATTGGGAAACATAACAGCAAAATCAAATCAAATGCAGTGTTGTCTGACCCCAAAGAGACAATACAACACCATGGCAGTCTACACAATACACCTGAAAACAAAATACAAACTCAGCAGATACAACCTTGCCACAGAACCAGCAGACACAGGAAAATGTGGCTGTCGCAGAAAGAAAGGTCTCCATTGAAAATCTATACAAAAACAGCCCTTCTTATCATGTAAGCACAAGAACTGCAGCAGTCAGTGTCTGTACCACATTTTACTTTGTCTCACTCTATTTGTTTAATTGTAGTATTTAAATTTTTCTTTTAGGTGTAACTTCTTCCTTATTTATTTGGTATATATTTTGTTATTTTTTTTGTTCTGTACATTTTCTATATCTTTCTCATATTTCGAATTATGTACATTGCTTAGCACTGTTATTGTCATGCTCTGTTCTACAGGTATCTGTATGCAGCTCATCTGTAAAGCTTTGGCAATATGAATAAATATTTCTTTATATATTTTTACAAACGTATATACAGTATATGTCAAATGTGCTATGTAGAACCATGATAGCAACCCCATTCTCCTCCTATGCTACTCCACTGTCTTGTTTGCTATGAATGGGACTTCACAATGGCAAAAGCTGTTTTGAATCACTTTTATGATTTTCTGAGCTCAAAAAGTCCTGTGTGGGGACCTTGGAATATTTCCTTGTGTGGGCAAAAAAGTTGAGAACCACTTTATCTTCAGGAAATACACTGTATTTGATACTCGTTTTTTAAAACTTTCCCCAACTAGACCCAAGACTAAGAGACAACCTTTAAAGAACTATACAGGTGTGTGTGTGTGTGTGTGTGTGTGTGTGTGTGTGTGTTAATAAAGCACCGTAAAGCTTACACTGAGAGAAATTGTTAGGTAAGAGTGTTATTCCCATCTCAGACAAGTTTGGTCATGGTTAATGGAAAAGCTGTAGTCTTCGAATACGACTGTCATGCTACTAAAATCGAGTTAGGTTAGTGTCGCAATTTTGTCACTGTTCAACAATGCTTTGGTGTTAATCACTCTTAGTGACTCATACTGTCTCAGACATACAGTATAGCCTGAACTTTTTGCATGCATTGCCATCTAAGTTTTAAGCTAAACATATAGTAAATAAAGTTTTAAACAGATACGTCAAGCATAGTATTTTATATTAAATCTAGCTCAAGATTGATCAGCCCAGTGCAATAATTCGCCTTTACTCAATCAGACACTTGTCTTAAGATAATTGGGCGAGATGGGGAATGAGAGGAGTGAGTCATTTGTTTATTTCGGCATCTTTCACCAGAATTCAATGACTCATAACACAAAGAGATGTACCGGGCCTATTAGCACGACGACTGTACCCTAGAAAGGATCACTGAAGAAATCAATTGAATTAGTCTTTTGGTGAAGGCATCACTGCGATGAAAAAAAAAATCCAACCAATTTCTTACAGTAGGCTAGGCTACCCATGATAGCACACGTACATCTCGGAGACGTCTGCAAGACGTATTTTTTAGAAAGTTTGCTCATCTGCAATATGTCTATAGGACGTTTCCTTCTAGATGTCAAATAGATTAATGTCTATTAGTTGTCTGTAAGATGTTTAGAATGTACAGTATGTAAAACTGACATCTGTCAGACGTTTGTAGACAGCAGATGCTTTCCAGATCAAGAGATCTTTAACAGACGTCTTGCAGACGTATGTGTGCTACCTGGGACATGATCCAAACCCGCTCCCAGTGGAACAGAACCGTGTGTTGCACACACAGGGATTCACAACCGTATTCTACACCTGTGTGAACGCAGTTAATCTAGTTCGTGGCACCTGCAGCCAATTTATGAATCTGCAGCACCCACAAACAGGCTACTATTCAAAGAAGCTTCAATGAAACTCGCTCTTAATTTACTTAGATTTAAATAACAAATAAAAGGCAAAAATAACATGTCTATTAGTTGTCTGTAAGATGTTTAGAATGTACAGTATGTAAAACTGACATCTGAAAGACATCTGTCAGACGTTTGTAGACAGCAGATGCTTTCCAGATCAAGAGATCTTTAACAGACGTCTTGCAGACGTATGTGTGCTACCTGGGACATGATCCAAACCCGCTCCCAGTGGAACAGAACCGTGTGTTGCACACACAGGGATTCACAACCGTATTCTACACCTGTGTGAACGCAGTTAATCTAGTTCGTGGCACCTGCAGCCAATTTATGAATCTGCAGCACCCACAAACAGGCTACTATTCAAAGAAGCTTCAATGAAACTCGCTCTTAATTTACTTAGATTTAAATAACAAATAAAAGGCAAAAATAACAATGAATTGCACATGTGTTCTTTACTTTCTGATCTGCTTTGATCATTGAAAACTAAAACCAAGCGTATCCTTTGAGCCTGTAGAAAGCACTGTTTTTCTGTGGGCTACGATAAACTCGTGTCGGCTTCATGGCAGGGAAGTGATCAACAAGTCACGGTCCATTCAACCATTTTCTTACCTCTGTGAGTGAAGTCAGCAGACATCAGTTCTTCTCAATGTGAAGATGTCAGGGCTTGTCTCGAATATTTAGGCTATGTTCAACATTACTTTTTCTACTCTACATATCGAAAGTAGTCGGACACGCCTCCTCTAGGCTAAACTTCCTTCATGAACGGGTGAAGTTAGTTAGTTTCGGTTTCGATGGCCACACACTTATACGGCTATAACTTAACCGGCTTATTAAATGTTCTCCAGAATACGATTACTGTAAACGTTGAAAGCTTTCTTCCATTATTTCCACTCGATATTAGGCTATAGTAGCAAGCAAGGGACCGTGGAGGAAGTGCAATTTTAAACCGTGGTCATGAATTAATGGATAAATAAATAAATTAAATAGGCTTTTATATTGGGATTTTGTTTTAGCACCATTTTAAACTTTTCTTGGGTTAAATTCAGTATTTGCTTGTTTTCATTAAAGGGGTCATATGATGCGATTTCAATTTTTCCTTTCTCTTTGGAGTGTTACAAGCTCTTGGTGCATAAAGAAGATCTGTAAAGTTGCAAAGACTAAAGTCTCAAAACCAAAGAGATATTCTTTATAAAAGTTAAGAGTCAGCCACGCCCCCCTAAAACGGCTCGTTCTAACACGCCCCCACATGTCTACGTCACTATGTGGGAAGATTTGCATAACGCCGCCCAAATGTTCACGCAAAGAAAGAAAGCGTAACTTTTATTCTCGCTGTAGTATTGTTGTTGCCGCCGCCATGTCGTGAAGGTGCTGTGTGTTTCGTTGTGAAAGCGAAACTACTTTGTTTGGTCTTCCA